ACATATATATATATATATATATATACATATACATATATATATACATATATATATACATATACATATATGTATGTGTGTCTGTATGTGTTCCTGGTATGTGTGTATGTGTTCCTGGTATGTGTGTCTGTATATGTATGTATGTGTGAAAATGTATATGAGTATATATGTGTATATGTATAATATATATATATACATACATACATACATACATATATATGTATCAGACTCTATGTATATACTACTATACATAGTAGTATATACTATGACTCTATAGGATATATTATACTCTATGTATAATCAGACTCTATATATAAATCAGACTCTATGTATATACGTATATGAGTATATATGTGTATATGTATAATATATATACATATATATGTATGTATGTATGTATATATATTATACATATACACATATATACTCATATACGAGTGATTTATTGGTCTTCAGAGACTCATTCTGACAGAGGCAGAGTGAGGAGAGAGAAGGAGCAACTAACACTGAGACATTAACCCATCTTTGATGTTTTTTGTCTTTTGTGTTCTCACAATATACCAATTTTATTTATTTATATTTTTGGTTGGATTTGGGATAAAATATAATTAAGCATGATTAATTCTGATTAATCCACAGCTACCCTGTGATTAATCAGATTAAAATTTAATTATAATAATTTTGTAATTGGTTGTTAGCCTTGGTTTCTGGTTCCTGCCTAATGTTGCTGTTGAACCAGTTCATTTCCCTCACCAGATTAATAAAGCACTTTTCCCTCTTTCCTTTCTCTCTTTTTTGGCAGAGAAAGTGCTTTCCAGATGGCACAATACTTCATATCTCTGTGAACATTCTGGCCACGAACAGGAGGAAGTGTTTAAGATAACAGGTGAAACTTCAAAACAAAACAAAACAAAAAAAACTCTAGTTTTCCTCTTGTGAACTTCGGTGGAAATTCATTAGTCAATCAATTAATGTGAACTTTCACAGACCTGGCTGTAGAACTGTCATAACTTACCATCATCAGAGCAAAAACATCAATCACAAGAACAGAGAACACATGCACATGGACAAGTGACTGCTGCAAAAAGCTGGTCAGAAATGGTCAGGGATCAGAGCACCAGTCAAAACAAACATCTCCCATGACATATACTGTATGTGCAGCGTCTCATAGTCGGCCAAATACAGATATCAACCCAAAATAGTCTTTTCCTTAATCTTGATACTTGTTTACTACAGTTTAACAGTACTTCCTACGTGTCCTGTCTGCCAAGCGTAGAATTACAGCCACTCATCGGTGTCAGATTAACCAGGAACATGGTGTTGCTGGTGAAGTGAGTTTCCTGGTAGTTTATTTACAAAAGTCAAAGTTGACACCACTCACTGTGTTGCAGTACTCATGGTGGAACACAAAGCACACAAACAGCCTGGAACTATGATCCCACCCAGACAGAGTGAGACCAACGACAGAGACACAGGTGAGGGTGATCACACTGATTAGCCCACACAGCAGACAGACCTCACCTGCCACTCTACCGGCAGTGTTTGTCTGGTAAACTGTGTTGATGTCAGGAGCTCTGTTAACCTGTTAATACACTCTCATGACAGAAAGGCGCCTATGAAATAAAATATATTATTATAATAATAATTATTATTATTATTATTATGAAACATCAAACAGATGAATATATAACTGTACCCAGCACTTTTCAAACCACACTCGAGCGTTTGGTTTTTGTCCCTGGTACTTTTAAAAACATGACATCTTTGCAGTCACTCCCTAAAAATCATGTAAAACCTCAGTGTTTGCTAGAGGAAATTAAAAAAAGTTTAAAATATGACTGGGAGTGTTTGTGTTGGAAGGGTGAAAATAGTAAGGCAGCATTTGAGGAGTACTAGGTTAAAGGAGACAGGGATGGGGGGAAATGGCACCAATAAAACTATTTAATATAATATAATGTGATGTGAAGATTATTATATATTGGAATAACACAACAGCTAATGTAACTGAGAGCTCATGTAGCCTTAAGTTGAACAGAAGTTATTTAAAACTCTTATAAATCTTTATCTGGAATGTATCCAGGCTGCTTTGGAGACGTTTCATTCACGGGGGGAAACATCAATCCTGTATCTTTAGTGTCACTGCAGCTTAACCCCGGTGTTTGACAGCAAACGGATCAAAGGGAACTGAGAGACAAACGTGTGTTTCAAAACAATACGGCACATCCTCACACTCTGCACAGATGCTGATAAAACTTCAGACTGCCAGAGGAGTTGAAACGCTCATTTAATCTCAGTATTATTTGATCCAGTGTGAAGGACGACAGCAGTGTGTGCAGCTGGACTCAGATCAAAGACGGACAGAATGTGTGGTTTATAGGAGAAGACCCCACCTCCACCCTGAGAGGGCAGTCAGGAGAGTCAGCTCAGAGCTGCCTCTACCAGCACCAACATCTGCAACGTCTACGTCCTGTACTGACAGGAAGAGACGGATTTCTGTTCATTTTTATATTTGATCTTGAGGACACTGACCACAGCGTACGCCTTAATCCAAATCAACTCAGAGATTAACAATCAGGCTAAATTGTTCCATATCAATAATGGTGAGAAACAAACACATCTACCTGATTTTTCTGTCTCAGTCAGAAAGATTCATCAATAGATTGATTAATAAGATAATGAGTAATTGCAATTAATCACAGCTTTGGATTAATCCACAGCTACACATACATATGTATATATGTGTATATATATGTGTGTGTGTGTATATTTATGTATATATATATATATATATATATACAGTATATATTCCTACATTTCCAGAGGGATTATTAAAGTTATCTCTATCTAACTATATATATATATCTATATATGCAGTATATAGGATTAGGGAAAGTCCTGGAGGACAGGACGTGTTGATCCTGGCGAGGACATGAGAGGTACAACTGGACGTGACACATTGATCCAGTACTGAAGGACCAAAGGCAGCCACTGTCACCAGAATTATTTGGGTGGTTTCCCATCCAGAAGCCGTTAAATTTTCCTTACTTTCTGAAGCCAACAACAACAATGCAGGAAGTTTTCACACAAATTCTCAGCACTGTTCCTTCTTCTCCCAGGGTTCTGGGTTCTGTCCGGTTTACCCTGATTTAAAGCCCCCTCCCCCATGTCCCTAGAACGTGATCTTAAAAAACTCTGCTGTTCCTTAATGTCTAATGAAACAGACAGTAGAAATAAAACAGAAACTCCCCAGAAACAGATCTTTTAGTGTCCCTGACATTGTGGCCCTGGTTTGTTTTCCCTGCTTCCTGAAGCGATCACACAGGATCTGATGTTGGAGATACGAACACACTTTTTCACTGTGTTTTGATGTGAGGCCATTACTGATAACACCACCCTAACATCTGGGCCTGCTCTCTGTCCAACCCAACTGTAATGTTGTGCTAATTGGTTGGTGTGTCACGGCTGTGGAAAAACACAACATCCACTCCTGCCGTTCTGCTACTGCTACTGAGAGGGAAACAATCACAATTGTTTGAACTCAGATTGACACAAAACCGTTGATGATTAAAGTCGACTACAGCGTTTGTACAATAATGAAGTCACAACTAAGGAGTTACACTGGAGCCCATGTTTGTTCTGACACTCAAGGTCAGTTATTACAGGCACCTCCATGTGACTCCAGGGTGTGGCACAAGGCTGCAGTACATATAAGTAAACATATGGAAGTCTGAGAGGGGTTTTTTTTCAATACCCCCTTAAAATTCCTGGAGGACAAATGGTAAGAATGTGCTCCCTTTGACCTTTGATTTAAGATGAAACTTCCTGGACAGGGCGTTTGGGAATATCAGGGAGCAATGAGTTTGAGGGTGAAACAGAAGCAGGAAAAGCCCTCACACCCCCTCCCTTACACACACACACACACACACTCACACTCACACACACACACACACACTCACACTCACACACACACACACACACACACTCACACTCACACACACACACACACACACTCACACTCACACACACACACACACACACACACACCCACACACATTTCCCAGGGATTCCATAGCTTTAAAGAATGTTAGAGGACCAGCTGACAGGTAGAAAGTGAATAATTAAAATAATTACCTGAGTTATGAACAGGTTTGCATTTCAGTGTACGATTCTGTCCAATCAGATGAGTGTATTTGTCACTTTTGACAGAACTTCGCTTCACCTTTACTCTGGCTGAAATGGGAAAAAAAACAGATATTTTTATTAGCTTAGCTTTATTAGCCTCATCAACAGCTCACTGCACATTGACCCTGATACTGTCCGACAAAAATAAAGAAAAAAGATTGATCATGTGTTATGTTTACATATGAACAGTATAATTGTAACTTTAGATGAACGTCGTTTGAGTTGTGCTAAACTAAATTTTCAGCACAATGTTTTCCGATGGTATTCAGGAAAGATACAATAAATTAACCGCAGTGCTTATATATATCGCAATTAATTGCAATGTCAAGAAATCGGGACATCTCTAGAGTTAACTGTTCTGTTCAGCAAACACCCATATTTGTGCCTCAAATGCTAACTGTCCTCAACTACAGCAGACTGGTGCCAACCTCAGCCAGAGTAAATTCTGACAAAAAAGAAAACAGGAAGACTCTGCTCAGCTTTAGGGTATTGGTTATTGTACATTTACAGACACTACAAAATATGTATCTGCAATTTGATGCCTGCTCACAACACAGCCAACCAGGGTGGGATTTGAACCTGTGACATCCACCCAATCCTCTTACCACTAGACAACAGCTTCATTTCCTTCAGCTTTATTTGAATTCCAGTTGTTTGTAGCGTCTCTGAAAGTAAACATACGTGACATAATGTTTCGAAGGTTTTGAACAAACACATCCACTGTGTCTCTACAGGGAGTTTGCCTTGACTCTATTAATGTCCACTGCTGACGTACTGACTCAAGTGTCCTTGCCCTGTACCCTGCATGTATGTGCCGCGTCTCTGTGATTGATGATAACATACAACTGTTTATCTCACCAGCCCTCGAAGCGTTTTGCCCATAGTCTAAGGAAAGCCTGAAGGAAGGAAGCAGAGGAAAAGAAGTCATTCTTTCCAAGGCAGTGAAGCCAGACTCGAGAGCAAGTTGTTTTGGGGGTAGTTTATCGCTCTCACACATGAGAGGCGGCCTTTGTCCAGAGGAGAGGGGGTATGAGCATATAATGGTATGGTGAGGGGGCAGCGGGGAAGAGTGGGAGTCAAATTTAAATTTCTGCTCAACTCCATCACCACAACAGGGAGCACGACAAAGAGACACTGTGATAACTGCATGGACAGAGAAGATGAATATTACTTCTCCATGGTGATTCTGTGTAATAGAGGCATTAATCACAATACATTCACACACTGACGTGGAGCTCCACTCTCTCAGCCATGGGAAGTTTTCGGTATTAAAAATGGATGTTGAAGATGAACAGAAGGGAGAACCAGTAGTGGGGGGGAGACAGATGATGACTTTAATTTAGTTATTATCTCTGGAGGGCAAAAGGATGATGAGGACACTGAGTACATTATTTATGACTAATATCTACATTTAAGTATAATCATATTCTCATGGAAATGGCGTAAAATCACTCCATAATTTAACCTGGAATGTGTCAAAAGGTAATTTGCCATTGAAGCTGAACGAGAACACGTTCTAATAATGGGGCAGAGATCATGATTCAGCTACAGAGGAGAATTAGTGTTAAACACTGTGACCTGACTGGAGTCTAGGTCTTCATTACAAAACTTGAAGTAATCTTCAAATACTTTGAAGACAAAATGACCTGATGGATGGATGGATGGATGGATGGATGGATGGATGGACGGACAGACAGACAGACAGACAGACAGACAGATAGATAGATGGCTGGCACATTATTAAACCCTCGGGAGCTCTCAAGTTGAATTACAAAACAAAACATACAAAAAAACCCAGCAACATAGAGAAGATCTGTATTCTCGTTATTCTCCAACTTCGTTTGATAGATTCACCCCATTGAAACCTATTGTTAAGTGAATACATTTGCTGCAGTTGGAACAAATAAACATCATATTTGATTAAATCTAATCACTCATTTGCATTAACTCAAGATACTGCATGGTTACTGTTTAGGTATGTGCTACTCACTGTTTGCTTCAGTTTCGGCGATACTGCTTCCTTATTTACCTGGTATCGAATCGAGAACAGATTAGAAGTATCGTTCACTACTAGCAAATTGCCAGGTCATTGTTTCATTGACACTGGCTCAAAGACAACAAGGGAAACACAGGGCGGTGGATGGAGACACCCAGACATAGAATATTTTGTGGATTCAATCTTTGTAAAAACTTCCAGAGTCAATCACTGATGACTTTTAATAACTATAGCAGACAATGTGTTTGACCCAACGTCACAGAGATGCCATCTTTATTCTCTGGCTGATTTATGTGCAATTACAATAATCTGCAGTTAAATCCCTTCTGCTGATTAAACAAAGGATCTGAGAGCTTTTGTTATAGGCACAAAGGCAGAATTATGAACCATGAAGCAGGAAGCTGCTACTACATCCTGAAAAGTCATGCACATCCTTTGCAGATGGAAAGCCGAGGTCCTGAGAAGACGACTCAAAGGAGAGGAATGTCATGTCGAGGGACCTCCACGGTCTGAGTCATCCCATTCATGTCACTCGGAGACACGTCATTAGAGACATCTTTACCTCCTTTATGCACCCCCCCCCCACTCTCTCTCCCCTGCTCACTGTGCTCCCTCTACCGCCCCCTCAGTGTGCTGCAGGGGCGAGCCTTTTTCAGGAATGCTGGGTCCTGCCCTGGGTCTCCACAAGTCTGCACTCCAGTGTTTTTTACTGTTTGGATTTAATGATTTCCCAGAGAAGTTTCTAGTCTGCCACCTACCCCTACCCTCGTTATAAAAACACACGCATTCATTCTGAATTTATGTACGTTTGGCCAAGTGCCAAAGTCATCTAAATTAAACAGCATTTAATTCCATATCCAAAAATAAACCAGAGAATCTGGGAACACAACCTCTCGCTCAACTCACCCCCAAAAACTTAAGTGGTCCCTGCAAGTACTCGAAGAGCGACATTAGTGCTCACACTATGTAAACAACCCCCGGCTGTGTGTTAGTCTCTAACACTTGGAGACATGGTGACATATTTATATAACGTGGTATTATTTAAACTACACAATCTTTCCAGCGTCACAAAGAAGCAATAAAACGTACACATAGATAAATGGGTGGATGGATGGATGGATGGATGGATGGATGGATGGATGGATAGATGGATGGATGGATGGATGGATGGATGATGGATAGATAGATAAAACAAACACATATTAATTTATAAAGTATAGATACTAATGCCTACTAATACTTAGTATTAATGATACTAATATTAAAGGTTCCCTTTATGAAAAGTCAGCTGACTGTAATATATTTACTTTAGCAGAGAGTAGTGATTTGAATTGAGGGAAATAGGTGTGTGAATATTGTGCACCTGTATTTGGCTTATCTCGGTAGGAAAAGCTCAGCGTTTAACAGCTCATGGTCAGGACAAAGGAAGGAAATGCTGTTGATATTGTACAGCATTACGAGGCGTCTGTGTTTCATTGTCACTGAAGTAGCTGACGTAATGGAACAGAATAGCTCAGCGAGTGAACTCGTGTCAATGTTAAAGGCGCACGAAGATAAATCCTGAAAGTGACACAGAAATGTGCCTTTTAAAACATGACTGGTGTGAGTGTACATTATTTACATATATAGTATATACTGTATATATTAGAATATTATATTTATAAAAAGTCAGACATGATTAGCGGTTTAGTTATTTCAAAGTCACAACTCAACAAGAATTTTAATCCTCCAACATTTTGGAAAAGTTACTTTGGTTTTTGAAACCATATGAAAATTGGTTCCAGTTCAAATTAAGTAGGATTTAATCACGGATCCAGAATCAGCGGCATTCAATACACTATTTTTATAGTCCTTAACATCACGGGTATTATTTTTCCAATTGAAATAAAAAATGAGGGAATTCATCTTTTTCATCATCATCAGCTAACATCCTTTACAAGCCAAAGGATCAAAGCACGTTGCCACTGGTGACTGCTGAACGCTCATTTTGAACCCTGCATACACTTTGTAAGGAGCTTGCCCTTTGAACTGTCATTATGTGCCAATGTTTTGTAAATTCTTATTTCCTGTCCATAAGATATGTGGCATATTGACAATATGTGTGTGTATGTGTTTGATCCAATGGCATCATTTAAAAAAAACAACCTTGTGTTAAAAACTATAACCAAGAGTAAAAAGAAGACACAAAAAGGACAGGAATAGAGGGATATTGGGATAGAGAACAAAGGAAAAGAAGCATAACCTTTGAGAAAAAAAATTCTAATTACAAAGGACAAATGAAATGTGTAATATAATATAAAATTTACTCTTCATTGTACTATACCATTTTTAAATTTAGTGATTCAGAATATAATAGTTTGATTTTAAAAATAAAAAGTACGACTTATCGTATATATACGATAGAATAGTTTTTTACTATTATTATTATTGATTCGTTTTTCATTTAATAAGCGTTTCGGTTTAATAAGGTAACCGGAAATCGTTGTGTCGTCACGTGACGTATTCTAAACAGTACTGTGCCTGAGACTTTAACTAATTGCAACTTGTACTTGTTTGTTTGTTTTTTGTTTTATTTTTGACTGTCAATACTTTTTAAATGTAAAGCTATTAGTAAAAAATATTAAACCATTTATTTTCGAGCCGAAATTACATCTTCAAAGCGGAAGTACATGTCTCGTTTGAAGCTAAACATCCGGTTTATGTAGCACTCGTGTTTACTATGTAAGTGCATTGTTTTCACCAAGCAAGAATGTTTAAAAATGAAAGATAAATCGTCTGGCTGGGAGTATGACTTTTGGTATCGACTCATATACAAGATAAACAACATGTGATATGTATATCTTCGTGTTGGTGAGTAAAACATGGACTTTGCTCCGGAGATTACCTGAAACTGGATGTCGAACAGCTGAAGAAACGTTACGATGGGTTTGGTGAACTTTGTCATCTCAACGGTTGCAAAATGCCTGGACGCGATGTGTTTGGTTTTGGACTTGAATTTCCTCGTTGTCCACAACGTGGTGCGGACTGTGCTGGCGGTTTTTACTTTCATAACCGATCTCCCCACCCTGCTCCTCAACTCTGAGCAGGAGCTGGAAGAGTTTGTCGTCTTTGGCCTGATGTTCGTGGCAGAGGCGTCTTCGAGTATGGCGCAGAACGCCATCATCATGCTGGGGAGCGTGCCGCTAGCTCTGGAGGGGCTGCTGGAGAGTCTGAAGATGGTCGGTTACCTGTCCATGCATATCCTCATCAGGGGGAAGGAGCACCTTTGTCGAGGTGTGCTGTGGATACTGGACATTTGTGGGATTGTTCTCAGTCTGCTGGTCTACTTCATCAATACTGTGGTCAACTTTGCTCTGATTGCCATTGCCAGTGTGTACTCAGCTGTGGTCAGCTTGCTGCAGACTGTCACTAGTCCATTTCAGATGGTGCTGGAGCTGACTCTCACCTTCGTGACCTTTCTTTACAGCAGCCTGTTGGGGACGTCAGCTTTCCTGTGGACACCCTGCAAGCTGCTCTTGGACTTTATGGTGTCACTGGTGCACATGTTCATTAGCATCTTCATACTGAACATCTATGGCCTGATGCTTACCCTTACCATTGCGCTGACAACCACAGCTTACCTGAACCCAGAGCTGAGTCGTCAGGTTGCAGCACAAGTCTTGGATTACCTGAACTCATTCCCTGCTCTTTGCAGACTGTTCACTGCTTCTCGCCGCCTGGCTTCAGCCTCGTGGAGAGCCACACAAGCCCTGCATGTTAACAACCTGCAGAGAATATTCCATCACCTTTACATACTGGAGAGACGACTTTGGCGGCAACTCTCTCAACACAGAGGCCAACTGGGCCTGGTACTGAGAACACTCCTCCACAGGGATAACAGCAGGGTGGAAGGAGACGGCAACACTGAGGGGGATCGCCGCGGCCCACCGGACGGAAGAGCAGGCGATGGAGCCCAGCGGGAGCTGCTCAACGTAGTTTTACCTTCCTCCAGTACAGACCGGCCATTAAAGAAGCTGACGTCTTCAGGTAAAGGAGGTAAAGCTGTGCCTGCAGAGCGTCTGCTGACGCTGCTGAAAGAACAGGAGGACAGGAAGAAGTGTGTGATCTGTCAGGACTGCAACAAGACAGTGGTGCTGCTGCCGTGCAGACACCTGTGTTTGTGTAAAGACTGTACCAACATACTGCTCCAACAACCTATCTACCAACAGAACTGCCCACTCTGTCGACACATGATCCTCAACACAATGGATGTGTATCTGTGAGGGGTGATCAGAAACCTAATAATGAACCAGTGATTTACCACCACTAAAGAGTATTTCAATTAATGGGGGTGGGGGAGGTTGTATTGGTTTTCTGGTAAAAAAAAGTGAAGTCTGGCTGTACAAACTTCACAAAAAATTGTGGAGCAAAATAAAAAAATTACAAGAAGCATACTAGTTAAAGAACATAAAAACATTTGGGTTCATTAAATCTTATTAGGGATTTTGAAAGTAGGATCTATAAAAACAAAATTGTCATTTTAGAGAATTAGTGACAAAAAACACAAAACAATACTACCCAGACCCATGTGTTTCACTAATGATAGAAACCAGTGAATGATAAATAGTGTTACAATTAAAAAAAGTCATAAGTTTTTAACCCAGAAAAAAAAAAAGAAATAAGGGCTTATCTAATAATAAAGCATATGCAGATTTGTCATCATGGCTTTGAGTGACTGACAAACCCTGAGCTGTATAACCAACATTCTTATTTTTTTATGAATATTTGTGCATTGAATTGTGGATATTTCTTTTTGAATTGTTTTGATACTGTTTACTTCAATTTGTTGCTTTTCAAGGCAAAACAGACTTGAGTTCTGATATGATCGTGTCTGTGTTATGGATTTGTCACTGTGATCCCCTGTTGGCTTTCAGGTTGTCTGTAGCCATGGTAACTCATAAGTGCCCTCTCTCCCTTCCTGATGCTGAAATGTTTACTGCTGCATGTGATGCTGTGCTCTTATAGGGAGCTGGCTGAGGGCAAACACTGTGCTTTGTTACCAGAGCCATCCTGTCAGTCTACTGTGTGTTTGAATACATGTCTGTGCCACACGCTGCCTTTTTGAAGCTTGGCTCATCATTAGAAAGGTCCAGTGTCTTAGGCCAGACAATGATGAGACAACACAGCCTTATTTCATCTATGTCTTAAATCTCGCCATGCATTAGAAGCAGATTTTAGTCACATCTCGACACAAAATCTATAAAAGGTTTTCCCTTTCACTTGCCGTAGTCATAAAGTATAGATTTCTGTTATAAACCGGACCATAAACGAATTTCATTTCAATCAGATTTCCATTTGTAGCCATGGAACCTGATATGACTGTTTGAAGGGCAACATACAGTAATGATTCCAGTGTGAAGTGGGTGGTCCTGGGGGGTTGTCATCTGTCACATACTGTCACTTTGTTTTCTTGAGAAAATGTGTGATTTAAAGAAAATTCATTTTTGTAAATGCTTTTTTCAGGCCACATAATTCTACTCCACTAAACATGTATATAATCGTTGAGAGTGAGGTGAACATCTGTTTTTATTTATTCAAGGACAGAAGTGACTTCTGGAGACAACACAGCTGATGGAGAGGATATGGGACTAATTATCTCAGGTATTCCCAAAGTGACTATATTCTGCAGCTTTCCTTTAGGTGGATGGACTGAAGAAGAAGAAGTTCCTTGGGTGACCGTTGTTAGTTCGTTAACTGCAGCGTGTTAAACAGTACGATTTGAAAACGTGAATAGGGTTTGTTTTTTTTTAAACTGAAAATTCTTAATAAAAACTGTTGAAAAAATGTGTGTCTGGTGCCTGTTCAATAGAAACAGTAATTTTATATATTTTGACGTAGCCGCGCCTTTTCATCCTGACTTGATGTAGCCAATGTGCAACCAATCCAGCCAAGATGGGTGTCTCAGAATAGGTCAAGCCGCACCACTTCACCTATAGTTGTTCTATTTTTGTGCAATACCGCAGTCACCCAACTCCTCAATAACAAAAACAGGAAAAGTATATTTAGCTTCAATAAATATAGTATACATTCAAAATCTAAAATTAATTTCAGAAAGCTCTTAAGAACAGAAGGAAACGGGAAATGAAGTTGTTGAGTCCACAGTGACATCACATACTGACATTTGTCCCATAACTGGATCCAGTTCTGAACACATTCTAAAAGGGAGTAAGGTCTGTAGAAGAGGAGGGGAGGAGACCCTCCTCTTTCCACTCCCCCAGTGGTCACCAGGGACCACTTCAACCAGAGCATCCCAGGATCCCACTCCTGTTCCCAATGTGTCCTCTAAAAATATCCCAGTCCTTCACACGTCAATCTGCTTGGATTAAATAATCTACTGCTATGTTATAATAAACTGAAGATGATGAGAGGATTTTTCACCCTTCATTTTTTTCACTAGTTTTAGGACTCGCAGGCCACAATTGTCCTAAAATTAAACAGCGTCTCATAAAGTCTAAAATGCTTTTAGCATTTTAGCGCCATCCATTAGGGAAACGTAGGTATTGCAGGGAAATGGCAGAAGTATAATGATAATATAAATAAATGATATAATTTTAAAAAATATGGAGGGTTGGATTAAAAAGCTGAATGGGCCGCATCCGGACCCCGGGCCGTAGTTTGCCCATGCCTGGATTAGAGAATAAACACTGGGATTGTGTATTGTCTCATCGACCCCTCCCTCTCCAGGTTTAGGTGTAACGAGAATGATGCTTAAACACAGGAAAGGAGGTTTGATGATGAGGACGAGGAGTAGGGGGAGTTAAAAGGACTACAGGGATTCAGCCTCTTCCTCTTGACCCCGGTCTTCCTGGTTGGGAGGAGTGTGGGAAAACATCAACCTCAAGAGTCCGACTCAGGCTCTGGGTTCAGTGTTTATGGTCAATCTGTGTCTTGTTTATTCTGTGGCTCCTGATTTCTATATCACCACTGATTTCTTGTTGTCTTTAATGACTGTGGAATATCACAGAGCCATGACTGGAATATTAGTTTATACGTTTAATAAGATGATAAAACTCCAACTCCCAGGATAACCTCTGACCTTTTGGGTTGACTTATAAACAGGATTATTGTTTATTAATTTTGGGTTTTTTTTAATAAAAGGCCTAGAATTCCATACTTGTCCCCTGCAGTTTAAAAACAGTTCATAGATAAAATCTTCCATTCACAGAGGAGGGGTGAGGGAGTGGGGGAGGGGCTACGTCATAAAGAGAAATAGAGGAAAATGCTGATGAAGGAGAAACCTTTGTTTCTCTGTAATGAGATAAAAATGAAGTCATTACCAGTCATTAGTCGTGGTCTTCTTGGTTGTGATCAACAAAACGACCCAGATTTCAACAACTGCCAAAAAAGGAGAAGACTGGTGAGTAGTGACTTCAGGACAGAGCAAAGAACAAAAGCTGGTGAGGACCCCTTAAAAACAGGAAGTTGCATGATAACCATCGGGTCACATAGCTGCTTAGAATCCCCCCCCCCCCCCAAAAAAAAATGCTTGATCTTTCACCTTTGGTGAGACCGGAGGACAGGAAGAGATGTGAAGAAATGTGCCACTGTTTTTACTCTGAAGAAACAAAGGAAAAACGAAAGAATAAATGGTCAGAATTTAACTAGTTACAGCCTGGACATTTTCAAAACGTCTTACCTCTAGCACAGGGGATACAACTGGTGGTTCCTGGCTCCCTGCAGTTGCACACTTACACTAGCAGAGCTGCATAGATTGTCCCCTTTATATTTGAACTTATACCATCCATCCATCCATCCATTTTCATCCGCTTATCCGTTACCGGGTCGCGGGGGCAGCAGTCGCCACCCAAATCACATTGCACCGTACCAAACCCTCCTGCGGGTGGTGAGTCCACTGGAACTTATACCTTAAAGAGAAAAATATTTTGTAATTGCACTGGAACAAAATCATTCGTTCATACAACAAATGATCATATGTAAATATAATTATTATTAACAAAAATTGAAATTATTGAACAATATCCCAGGTATCTAATTATCCATGTAACTGTACTAATGTATTTCTTCCCTTTGGCTGCTAATTTGCAATAACATCAAAAACTCACTATTTATTTACATTTATATGTTCTCATCATTTAACACCTTTGTTTTTAAAAGTAACAACGCCGGATAATGTTTCTACAGCCTGATGCTGCCTTCGCGTTGACAGGCAGTGGTACAATACTGCCCCCTGCTGGAAATAGTGCATTAAAGACCATAATTTGGCATGTTGGAGGTATTTTTCCTTTCAAATGTGGTACATTTGCAATACTCTGTAAGACAACGTTACGTTGGTTACGTTAGTTTTAAACGTTAAACGTCCGCCATTAATATGCTTTATGGGCGAAAGTACAGCATGGTTTAGGTTAAAAATGATTAAAAATGTCGATATTTTTTCTGCTAAAAACAACTTACAATTGAATTCAAGAAACTGTACTGAAATACACGAGTAACCACAAACATTTCCAGTCTCAACTGTAGAAACTACAATTGGAAAAAAATGCATAGGCTTTTAATAATAGTCTTAATAAATATCCATGTTTTAAGTTGCTTGTTTTTCTTTTTTACTTCTTTTTATGACACTGACCACGTCATTCGAGAAAAATTACATTTGATGTTATGAGCTAAACCGATTATTTTAAAAACGAGGCTGTATTGCATAGTAGTACGATGTTACGTAAATATATTTTTAAATAACATTTTAATCCAGATGTCAAACCATTGCGTCACTTTCCATCATCCCCAGAAAAACCATCCAACACCGATGATGTCACCGTCTGCTGGGCTTCACGTTACTGGCCGTGACCTGAAAGAAATAACTGATTGATGCCAGAGGAGAGGGAAGAGGGGTGAGGAGGGTGATTAATTCTCTGCTCTCCTGGTGCAGCCCTGGAGACGAAATGTTATGGAGTTATATTTGGATACTAATTATGTGGGGAAAATATCATGGCCTCGTGTTTGTCTGCTCCTCTTCAGTTCTAATCATGGCCTCGTGTTTGTCTGCTCCTCCGAGTGTTTACTGTCCGGAATAAAACAACGTAATTCCAGACAACCGCTTTTCGCTTTATTAATTTGGTTGCTATTACTTATTCTAGAAGTCCCTTCGTAGTATTTCAGGGTTATGGTGAACATTATGTGAAATTATTACAATGTAACCGAAGAAAATCGATGTTTAATCAGTATTGTGGCTGTGCTCTGCCCACAGAGAAGGAAAAACCAGAACATTTAATTAGATTAAATATATGCCACCGTAAAAATATATATGAAGCTACTATAAAAAGCAGACCAACTAGATGAAGCATTAAGTACCTGGTGTGCTTGACAGTGGGCAACAGAGGGCGCTGTGCCTCAATGAAAGCTGCTCGCTCTGGTCAGAGATGCCGTCTGAATCCTAGTGGAAGCCTAGAAGTAAAGAATTGCACCAAATTACTGGACAAATACCGAGGCAAAATTAAGACAGTAACTTCAGTTAAGCTGGAAGAGAAAAATAGTATGTTAATTTTCAGAGGCAGGTTGAAATTCCCCAAGCAAAAGTGAAAGAGTGGAAGAAATGTCTATATTTGGCTACAGCTAAATAGAGATTGTTTACGTTCACATTTGCTCCATGTGCTCCATGCTAAAATACAGATATATGCTGAAAACTAATGTTTATTTTGTTTATTCTGATACTTAACGTCTGAAAACGATAAAAGTTAAACATTAACGATGTATGCGTTTCTATAACAGTTAAACGATACTTAACACGTTAAAATGCATTATATTGTGTTTACGGTAAAACAGTTTTACACGCAAACGAGTTTAGAAACTATTTAAACAGGATCCAGAAATATTTGAAATATTAGTGTGTGATAAAAAAAAGACATAAATACACACACCACACCAATCTATTAAATAGATAGTCATAGATAAGTTGTAGACAAAGTGACTTTATTACAAAATATGTCTAAACGAAGCTGGAGACCAAAGACACGTGTAAGTGTTTGGTGTTAAAATAAAAAGTGAGCAAAACAAGACCTGACTGACAACTACTTAGATTACAACCAGAATAATGAAAATAAATGTATATTTAGACCAACTAAAAGTGCTGTTGGCAAGCAGTTTTGTAGAAGTGACAGTCATTTAGATGAAGTTCATTTAAAGCTGTGAATGTGTTGAAGGTACAGCAGGTGTTGGTGATTCAACAATAATCCTTAATGTGTGGACCTGAGAGAAGTGAAGCTGTGTTGGTGCTGGTGGTCCAGTCGAAGCTCTCCAGGACATGTGCATCAGGACAGGAAGTAGAAGAGGATGTGCCAGTCATCAGAGGGTTATTCTGTTCCTCCCCTGGATCTGGAGCCAATCGCAGCAGTCATTGGACGAGGGTGGGGCTTGTACCTGGTACACTGGTCACAGGGACATGTGAAGACAAACAACCTTTCACACCAACATTCACACCTACGGTCAGTTTAGAGTGAACAATTAACCTATTCCTCTGTGTTCCTTTTGTGTTCCCACTGATTCTTGCGGTACGGCAAGAATACAATCCACTCATGTACTGTGTGGAAGAAAAGAGTTTTAATGTTTATTTATTTATTATCCTTGTACGTTTTTGGTGCTTCTACTGACAGTAGAATGTTGTTTACAGTGTGATTACTGCTTTAACAGGAAATTGTGACCAAAAATATCTAAAGAAAAAGAAAGGAAATGTTACTTCATTATTTCATGTCCCTGGAGTCGAAACCTTTGTACTGAAAACAAAATCATAAATGTTAGTCTGTGACCTGGTGACTGTTTCCATCGTCTGTCACATCACTGAATAAACATTACAGCTCAGTGTGTGTGTGTGTGTGTGTACATCTGAAACACATTACAGCCTGTTCACTTGTCATTATGCACAGAGTCTCAATTGTGAAAATGAAATTGGCAAAAGAAAATGCCGGGTTCCTTTCCCAGATGGGAAATCGTTTTTGTTTTAATTTCTTGTAAGTCAGGCAAACACAGCAGAGTTTTTCCAGTCGGAGTAAACCAGGAAGCCCGTGAAGGTGCTGTCTGTTTTGGTGCTAGAGTAGAAGCCATTGTACTCAGACAGCGCCATCTGGACCCACACCTGGTCTCCAGGGATGAGGTGGAGCAGGGATCCTCCGGACAGAGACGCCGGTTTGGGCCAGTTTCCGTAGAACTGGAAATAGGACGCCACCACGTGTCCGTTCTTCATCAGGTCGAACTGCAGACTGGCCCGGTAAACTGTGGCGTGAACGGCGAAGTAATAAACCCCGGGGACCCTGCAGGTGAAGCGTCCGGTCTCAGAGTTGTAGTCTCCGTGCTCGTTGAGCATGATCTTGTCAAAGTGGACGGCGTCGCCCACAGACAGGGGCAGAGTGTGACCCTCGGATATTTTGGCGCTGAAGGCAGATTTTGGGGCAACGGCACACTCTCCTGCCTGACCTGTTGCCCCCTTCTCTCCTGGGTCACCTTTGTCCCCAGTCAGACCTCTGACCCCTGTCTCACCTAGAGGAGAAGAGGAGGAGGAGGAGGAGGAAAGAGGTGAACATGGAGCCCTGACCTTCATCATACAAATATAATAATAATAATATATCACAAATAATATATTATTATTAATAATAAAAATCAACCAATCATTATGAAGGAATCCTTGTATCCTTTCTTCTTCTCTCCTCTTCTATTATATAAGAGGAGTCAAACATATGGTCCGCAGGCCAAAACCGGCCCACTAGGGGGTTCAATCCGACCCACATGATGAATTTTGAAAGTAAAAACACTTCATGTCCATGGTGTTTTTTGCAAATGAAACTTCAATAAATATGAATATTTTCTAACATACTGGTACTTATTTGCATGAAAATAAAGGATTTATTGTTATTTATTGGTAATTATGTTATAATTGTACTGGTCCGGCCTACCTGACATCTAATCAGGCTGTACATGGCCCATGAACCAAAATGATTTTGACACCCCTGTCTTACATCCTTTCCTCCCCCCTGCCGTCCTCTCCTCTCTCATCATTATATTTTCAGTGTCGCAGAAAGGGAGAAAAAAAACCCACCATACTCTCCCCTGTCTCCTTTTTCTCCCTTCTCCCCCGGTGCAGCATCTCTCCCGTCCCTCCCATCTCTCCCTGGGAGACCAGCATTTCCATGAACCCCAGGAGAACCAGGGACACCAGGCTGTCCAGAGCAAAGACTCAGGGGGATCTTATTGTCCTCTAACTGGCAGGAGACGTCCACGTGGAGGAGGAGGAAGAGGAGATACAGTAGCAGGGAGGACGTTCTGAGGGAGTCCATGGACACGTTTCACCTGAGAGACAAATAAACAATAAATAAATAAAGCTGTAAATAAATCACAGGCATGGGGGAAGGGGTGGAGTGGGGGTGGGGGAGGCAGGAGCTGGACCACACATGGGGAGAAAACAAAAGTCTCCATAAACATCAACATCATCTGATCCAACAGTGAAACACTCAGAATATAGTGTATAATTAGGACTGTTTATGGAAACAGGCTGTAAATGTTGACGTTACTGTAGTGGAAGGATGGAGCAGAGAAAACAGATGTTTACTGCAACTCTTTATTTGTTTTGCATCAAATAAAGATTTGAGGTTTATGAAACCAAAATATAGAACAGAACACAATAGAATAGATGTTCTTTTTTGTACTACGTCACTTTAAAGACAGTAGAATCCCAGGAGGAGCAGTTGGTATTTCAGTATTGACTCATCAGTTACTTCACCTACTACTTGTTTCTGTAATTCAACAACTCTCTGGTCGGTTTAGATTTTTTTTCTTGCACATTCCAAGGTTTTCTCACCCGAACACATTTTTTTTTTCTTTTATCTTTACCAGATCTTCCTGTGGCAGCAGCCAAACTCTCCAGCCTTAAATGTTCTGTTCCAGTTTTACTTTGGAATTAAACATCACTCTTTTAGAAAATGATGTAGCTTTCATTTGACCCCTGACCCTAAGAGCAGCCCGAGAGATACTAGAATGTACATTTTAGACATTATATACAAATGGATGGATGGATGGATGGATGAATGGATGGATGTACTACAGAACAGGTTTGTCAGGCACATGTTTTAGTAGAGCTCGTGTCCAGGGTCCTCCTGTGGTCCTCGTGTCAGAGAGCAGGTCCACACAGACTTAAAGCACACTGATGAAGTCAACAGACACACTCACAGACCTACATCGCCGTGAACACTCTGTGACCCTGGACCTTATGTTTAACTCAGTTTAGCGCTGCCTGACGTTGATCTGTGGATCAGAGAATGACAGTCACCCACATCCACATCAGCTGTTATAATTGTAAAGAGAGAGAGAAAGAGAGAGAGAGAGAGAAAAGAGAAGGAAAAGGTCCAGGAGCGTGTCAGAATTCCTGGCAGCAGTCGAGGGCAGACATGAGGACAAATACTGCAGAGTCTGAACAGCTGTCTGCTGCAGACACCTGCAGTTGATTAGAAACACAAATGTTCTTCTTCAGAAACACTGGACCAATTAGAGAATCTACTGTAAGTTTACAAACAACGTGTGTCGATGTTCAGCTGCACGGTCACACCGTCACTGTCGCAGGCTCTAAATGTCAGTCAGAAATACATACAGCTGAAATGACTGGAGTGAAGATTTACGTTAAAGTTTCAGAGTTAATAGCGGCCACTGGGGATTTTTTTTTTCTTTTTTTGGTGTTTGATTTTTACAGGAACCTAAAAGTGAGTGTCAGCAAGATGGCAGATCATTGGCCGGCTGCCTGAGGAGCAGCTGGAGAGCAGTGGTGTTGTTCACATTTACTGCAAGTCATTATCAGGCTGTTGAAGACAAAGCTGCCTGTTCACTGTGCAGTCAGTAATTATAAATAACACTGACACAAATGTGAATTCATACATCTGACAATCGCCTTCTGTGAAACACTACTTAAATAAAGTCAAGCTTAAAAAACAAAAAATTAAAATCTATTTATAATTCTGTTCATCCGGTGCACTTTAAACTCACTTTTCTGACACTTTTCTGGAGTTTTAACTTACAGTGAAGCCTTGACCAAAGTCACAGGGTTTTTAGTTTTCTATTGAAAACAGAAACACAATGTTGTTTCTGTTTTGTTTTTTTTTCAATCAGCCACAAAATATTATGTTTGTGGATCCGGGCGAAGAAAACAACTGCGATGATTGACTGCACCAATAAAACTGGATTAAGAGCAGACCAACACATCATTAACATGTGTAATGACAGTGGTAAACCAGCTCTCAGTGGGAGACAGGAAATACCACATGAACATAACTGGAGCTCAGAAGACAATGCTGCAAAACTGGATATGACGCTTGATGTGATTTCTACTGGATTTATATTTATATATTTATATTATGTAACTAGTACATCGAGTCAAAACACGTTAGCCTGTTTTTTTTTCTATTCTACTATATTTTTAATAAAAAGTCTGACTCATCTCATTGACGTCATCATCAGAAGAACTTTACTTCTTGATTTTTTTCAAAGACTTTTTAATCGAGCACGGCCATCACAATGCTCTCTGGTGGAAGAAAGTTCCTGATTATGGCTGTGCAGGACTAAAGTTCCAGCCGCTGTCAACAGTCAAACTATAAACGTTACTCATCAAAACAACAATTTAGCAAGGAATACAATGCAATATTTAAAAAAAAACGTACCGTAGGCCGCAGTGAAGTCTAAGATGTGCTGCTGCGACTTCCTCCCAACCACACAAACAGGAGACAAACTGAGGAAACAGTAATGAAAGCTGCTTGGAACTGGGGTGGGTGGGAGAAAGAGGAGGGGACGTGGGTGGGGTGAGTAGGGAGGATACTGGAGAAAATATTTAATGGTAAAAAAAGTAAAGTGACAGCATGAGTGGAGGGAGGAGTAGGGCTTACAGGGGTGATGAGAAAGGTTTGGAGAGGATGATAGAGCAGGGAATGTTTGGGAAATTACATAATATTGTTGAAGGATCATTTTTCCATCAGGGAGCCACAGGGTTCAGAGGGCTGTGGTCAGAAAAAGACGAGATGCCAACACAAAGAGGTGCAGCCGGAGAATGGACGGTTCTCTCCTCCTTCACACCATCAGGAGCCACAGTCACACAGACGACAGTTTTACTGGCTGCTCCAGTTCAGGAGATTTGTTTCATGAGTTTCTGAGCGGGACAGTCTTTAAAGTCAAATTCCACCGAGTTCTAGCGATAAAATAGAAAGTGCACTTTTCCTGGTGATTCATCACTGAATCATCTTGTAAATATTTAATGGAGGTCAAAGAGTGGCAGGGTGAGGGTGGTTTTTGGCTGAAAGGAAATGGTGAATGTGTTGGAGAGGACGTCAAGGACGAGGCCGTTTCTGACAGACGCAGAGGAAGAGTCATGGACGTGGAGAACAGAGAAGGAAAGGGTTAGGAAGGAAGGAAGGAGGGAAGGAAGGACGGAAGGAAGGAAGGAAGGAAGGATGGAAAGAAGGAAGGAGGGAAGAAAGGATAAATGAATGGATAAAGAGAGAGATAGAAACACACTAGAAAAGGCAAGGACTAAGGCAGGAGTTTCAAAACCATGGGGTTGGGCCACACGGGTACAGTCAGTGGGTGGAGTGGGGGCGGGGTGCAAATTAATCAATTTCACTATTTTAATTTTGTGATTGTATCTCCTTGTGGTACTGTTGTTCAGGAATTACAATGTTTGCCTTCAGTGTTGGAATAGTAGCTGTTAATGTCTTGGGACAGGAGGGGGGAGAGCTGGGGAGGGAAGGGTGAGGGTTGCTCTGAGTCAGGGTGAGGTGGAGGCAGATGGTCCATTGCAGTGACCCTTGAACTAAGCTGTCAGAATCAGCCTCAGGTGTACAGAGGCTAATTCTAAGAGCTAATGACTTCAAACCAGTGAACTCTGCAAGTTTTTAAAAAGTTAATATAATAATTTCACTATTTTAAAGTTTCATTATTGTTTCTAGTCTGTAGACAAAATGCTGTAGTTTACAAGGCTGATAAATACACAAAAAAATCTGCAAAAGTATAATCCTAATTATCATGTGATGAGTACACAACATTTAAGTAACTGTGTATCTGTAGACAATAACAATAAACTCCAATGTGGAAAACGGTTCTCGTTTGTGGGAATGGACAAATATTATTTGGGTTCAACAGAAGCTGTTTTGTTTCACCAGGAGTAAACAGTAAAAGACCAGATTTTACCAGTAAACCCAGGTTTTATGGGACGCGTTGACTGGGACAGCGGGGAGTCGGCAGCTCTTTGAAACAGCACGCTACTTTCCTTTGAGCTTGACTCATCTCAGCTGCTGAACAGACTCCTGTCAAGGCACGGGGCTGTAACTGAACACAGATGTGTTTTTAATGAGCGACAACCAAATCAGCACATTCTGGATCACAGATTTCCTGTAATCATCCTCAAACTGCTCTGCAGAGCATTTAATATTAATTTGGACCATTTGGAACAAGAACTGTTTGGACTCACTGCTAATGGCCAGTGGTTTAGTTACTGCAGAAGCACTAAAGGAGCCGTGATGCTAAATAACACTGTGGTTCTAAAGGAATGTCACAACAAGTATTAAACACAAGAACATACTGGGATAAATGTGAGGTTGTTCCATCTGTAAAATTTGCCTGTTGTGTCAATCCTAGTGGTCAATGGAGACACAAGGTCACAAGGTCCCGTATACAGACAACCATTCACCCTCACATTCACACCAGTGGTCATTTAACAGTTAACCACCAATCTGCATCACCAGGAAAAACACCCATACATAATGGTGGATCTTGGCATAGGCCAAATAGACCCAGGGCGCCATCTAGTGGAATAGATGATGCTGCAATACTAAAATAAAACAACAAAAAACAATGTTAGCAGATTTAAGAAAAGAGAACCTATCTGCTGGAAATGACTTTGAATTGAATCATAATACATGTTTTATTTTATTTTGAAATTATATTGTGATATTTTAAAAAATATTATAGGACCTTATATTATTGTGCTATTTTAAAAAGTTCTTAAACCATAATCTTACCTCAGGCACCAAAAGGACTAGAGACAACTTTGTTTACTCACACGCACACAGGCATGAGCACAAACCACCTGCCACTAGGTGGCCCCAAAACAGTCATGTCGATTGTGAAAGAATCTTAGCAGAACAAACAAACAAAACCTAAACAGGCAAAAATGTACTTGATGCTTTTACATGCTCAAAATATAATTTCAAGCGCAGTAAAACATGAACCACATCCAGACCAGTAATCACTGTGTGTTAAACTAAGTATTTGTGAAAATGACAGTAAGATTAACATACCTCTGCAGACCCAGGGTCGTCCTTATCCTGTTTTTGTCCTCTGCTTGTTTGATGGTGATTGGTTGCAGGTGTTTTTGAAACATTTCATTTGGAGCCAGATGATTGGTGCAGACAAGAATGTCTCAACAAAGGATGTCGTCGTTTATCATCTGTGGAAATCCCCTGAAAAACTGAAAATGCATTCATGACTCAGACTGTTTCCAAGGTGGTACTCATACAGTACTGGGCAAACGTACCAGGGGCCTTTTTTATTTTTAAGTATTAACATATGGGGCGTGGACCACTGCCTTGCTGGATACATTCAACCAAGGCTTTAGTGAAGGGCCTTTAAAATTACATCTCAATTTCTATTCAAAAATTTATCAAAATCAACGCCCCCCAGACGATCCACAATGTTATCTTGAATCTAGAGGGTTATGGGTTCAATTCCAGATGTGGCAGATTATAGGCTGACCCCTGGCAGCCTTGGAAGTAGGTAGGTGTACAGCTGTAGTGTTCCGATTCTCTACGTTTGCTTTATTCACCAAAGTAATCAAAATTTCTAAAGAACTGAACTTACCAAATTGTTTTTGTCTTCAAATAATTTTCCAGCAGCGACCTTTCCAAGACCTGCCAGTCCAATCTGTGCCTGTGAAAAAGAAAACCAGAAACCAAAAATTTAATTTTGTTTCAAGTTCTGTGAATTTCCACCAAACCATCACCCAACACCCAGTGAGGAAACACAGACAGTGACATTAAGGAGACATGTTTATTATTTAAACTATCACTTAAATAAAAAAGTGCATAGAAAATAAACATGATTAGAAACTTTTCTTTTTACACATATTTACAGCTTTGTTTCCTAATTATACATTCAACCAAGTAGTTTGTGGTTTGTTTTTCACCGCGGTGGTTTCCTTCATTTCAGTGAAGTGAATTATTGAAAGAACACTGTAATAGAAACGGGAGTAAATGTGATGCTGGACTCGTGGAAACCCTTATTACACACAGCTGGAGAAAATCCATAAGACAAAGGTATGTTCAAGGCATAAGAAATCAAAGCCTCTCCCGTGATCCCTCCGTTTGTACGACACACGTCCGCTCGCTCTATGACACCACATCCCATCATCGGCTGACAACTTCTACACTAAGAAATTAAACGTCTTGTAAAAGAACATCTCAGGGTGGATGTTGCACAAAATAAATAATGTATACGCTTTGAACATCAGCATTTTGACTTTTCTATAAAAACAGTACATGATAAGTACAACCAAAGCTTCAGAGGTGGGAGAGAGCAGTCAGGGAGACAGAAATGAGAAATGCTGTTTTCGCTGCCATCTTCAATTTAAACTCCTGATCAGTCTCCACAGAACACACTCCCTCTTTTACACCACATCAAGTAAATCAACTTACAAAAAGAAAAGTCCCTGTTGAAACCACAAAGTAAAATATCTGAGAGACATTCACTACGGGAAAGAAAAAGAAGGGAAAAAAATCAAATGTCTGACCTCATGAACTAACAACCAGGTACCGGGTCAGTTATTACGGCTATGTTTGTCATCACATAAAGAAGAAGTTTTGTTCCAGAAAAGAAAAACAAAAACTGCAAAGTTCCCTGCTGGTGCAGGAACATCCACAGGCACAGAAATTATGGTACTGATATCAATATACAAAAAGAGTTATGCACGTTAGTTTTATCTGATAGTACTGCAACACAAAACCATTATAGAGTACATTGAAACATTGCTATTATCCTTTATAAATCTGCTGTTTTGCTACTGTATCTAAGTTTGACGGTCCATTCCATATACTGTATAGATACTAAATTACAAGAAATTACTATGTATGTTTCCATATATTATTGGTTTGCATTTATTTATACTATAATTACAGCTAACCACAGAGAGAGGAGCCACTGGTGTGGCGCGGTTTAATGAAACAACACAGACCGTTTCCTTATGGTGTACTCTGTGTGTGTGTATGTGTGTGTGTGTGTGTGTGTGTATGGTACAGAGAGAAGTGGTGGGTACAGCTGTTGTGTACTGTAGGTCTGGAGAAGTGAGTCATAAACAGAGCCCTTTGCACCGGGAAACCATGTCATCACCGATGCTCTCGTGAACTGTTGAGCTAAAGCAGCAAGGACGTGTTGTCCTGCAGACTGAAATGTTCCACTGTTGTCTCCGTGTCACTCATTATTTGTCTGTGTAGGTTCTCAGTCATCCAGGTCGTTTTTAATTCTGAGAAGCTCAGAAGAAGGAAAACCGGACTGAACAGGTTTTGTCAGTCCTCACTGACCGCTGGGAAAATTCTGGTATAAAGTCTCTTTTTCTGAATGGAGAGTTGTTACAGTGAAAAACTAAGCCAATATTTAGGCTAGGCAATCACTGATACTGATGCTGGTACTGGACTGGACCTGAAGCATCTGTGTGGTAATATGATTAATTGTGACGTGGGAATAGTGTAACTCAGTTTAAGTGACAATTGACTAGTTACATTTTTTCAATTGAAATGTTCTATTGGTGTAAAAGCTCTGCTCACTTTCTGTTCATTTGGCCGTGTTTTATATTTTAACGCTATTTATATTTATTTTAGTCTTAGTTTCGCTGATATATTGTTTAATGTGACAACAGTGTCAGTTTGAAGACTTTTTTTGTTTAATACAGAAACCATCATCACTGTGATGTCATCAACATCTTAACCTTCTATATAACACTGACGTCCGCTTCATTGCACATTTATTAAAACCCAACCAAAACAATTGGTTTTGGTACTGGGTATCAGTGGGTTCAAATATTAAGATGCAGTTTGTTGTTGTTTGACTGGTATCAGGACAAGAATAATTTATTCACTGAGAAGTCCAACACCAGAATTTCCCTGCAGTCAGTTGAACTCAAGCTGAAGCCTCTTGTCTGAGGTGAAATGTGTTCAAGAAACCGAAACAGTCCAGTTGCCTCCTCCTGAACCTCTGAGGTCACTCATTACTCCCACAGCTGAATTCCATCAGCTGCTGCTCAGGTCACATCTACATCACCTCTATAATCTACCAGGGTTGAAGATGCAGGAACAGAAAACAAACAGCTGACAGAAGTTGAGTCTCATCACGAAGTGATGCAGAGGAGGAAAATACATTCATCGTTTGTTGACTGTAGCAGCAGAACCCAGTGAGCACAGCTGAGCTGCAGCTGTAAAACAACAACCAGCCTCTCTGTCAGAGCGGACTCCAGATATGACAAATCATCCCTTAATTTAAAGCACAGCCAGGATTTGTAAAGATTAATCAGATTTCCCAGGGAAGGATTTTGCTGCTGGTGTGGTCCCTGTCTTTAACAAAAAGTGAAGTGCACTTTGCTCTTCAAACCTTCAACCTCCAGGGAGTCACGAAGACCAGTTTTAGGTTCAGGTCTGGTTTAAGTGTTTTGATTCCTAACGTGCCTGGGTGTCACAGCTGAAGTGCAAACTATGACGTTGTTTTAGTTTAAAATCAACATCAACAACAACAAAAAAAGGCAGCATGGGGGAATCAGCCAACAGCCTTGAACTGATAATAAAATCAATGTAAAGAGCAGGTAATAATCAATTCAGAAGTGACTGCAGGATTTGAACTGTTTAAGAACATTTCTACCCCAGCACAGAACGTTTAGGAGTTAAAAAACAAACAAACACTGGTATAAAGAAGAATATCCATGAACTGAAAGTGACAACCAAAAACTGCTGGTGGTGAAGTTTGAACAAAAGAAACCAGATTATCAGGAATAAACTCTTCTATGTCTCTTAAAACAAAGGCACAACTTCACTTCTGACTGAATACTTCAAACTGGGATTAACACTTTCAACTGACAGACCTCAGGCTGGTGGACAGTCTGTCCATGAACCAGTCCACTCCCAGTCTGCGAACCAGGGTTTTATTACTCCAGGGGGACGTGGTTCCGGGTGTGATGCGATGTGGAGACGATAAGGCCGGAGAGAGGAGATACCGGATATGAAGTAAGAATCTTAACTCTCTCAAGTGCATAATAAAGAGTTCACAGATCTGCCACACAAGCAGCCAGAACTGGAACAACGAGAACAATAACAACAAAAAGACTGTCAGCTCTGACCAAACAGCCTGGGAGAATAAAGAGCTACTGGTGGACTGAAGAGAAAAGGGCTTCGACCAAACAACAGACCGGCATCAGTCTTTGGAATCAAAGAACACATTCAGGCTATGAATGAAGAAAAAAAATGAAATTAAGAAGAACAGAATGAAAACATAAACAACGTTGAAAAGGCAGTGGAATACAAAACATAGAGACCAAGCATTAGTGTCTGTAAACCTCTATTTCCTAGAAAAATGGCAACAAAATAAATACAATTCTTTTAAAAATATAAATACCATCATTAAGTGCTATTCACTAGTGAGTGCTTTTAAGTCAGATTTTTTTTGTAGAAAAATATACATTATTTACATATGTAATTTTTGTCTCAATTTTTCAGTTTTCATTAAAAGCAAGCACAATACGTCCCTGCCCGTGATAAAAAGACAGAAAATAGACAACGACACTTTACGGATAAAAAACATTTTCAATAGTCATGACTACGACAAGAGACCGGGAAGAAAAACGAGTGGTGAGAAAATTCTATTCAACGTCGTGATGTTTGGTTTGGTTCACTTTGCTGCTGCTGTAATTTTGGACTGTCCAAGCTCTCATTAAAAACAAAACAATAGCATGCAAAAACTGGCAACGCACATGGCGGCAAGTTTCTCTCCAATCAACGGCTGTTTGTATATATATATATAAAAAAAAAATCTACTAAAGCACATCAGTAGGCTCATCAGCTCCCCCTGCTGTCAGTCCACCAGAATCTCCAGCTGCCTAACTTTCTCAGGCCAGAGGTTCAATCCTATCACCACGTACACTGCCATAGAAGTACACAGGATGATATCAGCAACCATCCTCAACAGCTTTGACTTTTTCAAAACCAACCCCACATTTCTATCCCCCTACCATGCCCTCCCTCCTGTGACCACAGCTCCCCCTAGTGTTCCCTTGGGCACAGCTCTTATTAGGCTGCTTCATACCAGAGCAGCTCTTATTTACAGTGTTGAACGTTCACACCTACAACCTTTGTAAAAATTCCATCAAGGGACAGGTGTCAATAAAATTTCAATGGCTCTCAGACATGGGTTCACATTCTGACAGGCAGGTGTGATTCAACCAAAGCTGACGTGGCAATGTCAATAAAAACCAATTCTAGCAAAGTCAATTTTTTTTTTTTAAAACTAGTAAAATTTTCCATCCAAGTCTCTTTTTTGAACAAATTGCACTTTGGTGTAAAATGGTAACCAACATTGTGGATTTTTAAATTCAAATCTCAGTATTAGTGGACCATAGTGTTAATCCTAAATATTTAATAAGAGAGGGCCACCAAATAAATGACAGGGGAAGAATTTATCATCCAAATGTTGGGAGTATAAAATGTAATGGCTTAAACCGTTTCATACCTCGGCTCTTAAACTTCCAAATGTTGAACGTAACAAAAACAGAGGCACAGTATGTTGGAATTTCAACCAAAGGCCCTTTCACTAAAATGCGTAAACAGTTTGGACCACAGCCTGTCTGTTGGGTTCTGACAACACCAGAACCAGACAGAGTTCTGTAGGCAGCCACCATCCTGCAGGGACCAGATGGTGGGCACCAGTGCCACTGTGAAACCGACTGTGGCCCTAAAGGCCTGACTTCTTTCATCTTAAAAAAACAAAACCAAAAAGTTTTGATGCAGACGTCAGTTCAGGAATTTGCGGCACTTCTTTGCGCCACAGTTGCAGGGTAGCTTGTTGCTGGCATCTTCAATAGGAAATTTGTAGTCGTAGGTGAGCTCCTCTCCGCAGTAGATGCGACGGGCGGCGAAGATGACAATGTGCTTCTGGCTGTCCACGGTGATGACCCGAGAGTAGCAGTTGGGCTCACAGGAATGGTTGATGAAGCGCGCGGCGTTGCCGTGCACCGTAGCATCAACCACCTCGTATTCATCGATGCGAAACATGTAACAGCCGACGCCCTTTCAACAGAAAGACACAAATGAGAATTAAATCCTTGACATTCTCTTAACCTTTTTTTGCCCCCCTTTTAAACATTACCTTCCCGTCATAGTATTTCTCCCGTTTGTCAGTGAGCACAGAACGGATGACATTTCCAGAGTACTCAATGACCATTTCCCCAGAATCTATGGTTTTCTTGCAGAAAAGACCCCTGCCATGAATTTGAGACCTGTAAAGAGAAAGAGGAAACCACAGAGAGGTCATATTAGCTTCATTTCATTTTAAAAATATACTTTTAATGAAATAAAAAAAGTGAAATAAGTCTCAGTCCTGGCAGGACTGTGGGGTGTGGCAGGACAGCTCCTGTCTGTCAGTTGCACAAAGTAATTTCTCCATAGGGAAGTAATTGAGTTCTGACGAATAACGTATATTCTGACATCAGGAAGTCAGTTTAATGCCTGACTATGTACATTAAAAGCAGAATGGGTCCAAATACAGCACCTGTCATAACAGACATGTTGTGATCATGCTACGTCTCGAACGTTTTCCTGGTCCTGCCTTCATACTGTCTTCAGTTTAACCTAATATATGTTCTGATCTTGTAACATGTAACTTCCTTTTTAGATTTAGTTAAGTATTCTTAAAACAGGGGTTGTTGACTAAGTCTTTGATGAAAATGAGTCGATGAAATGAACACACAGATGTTGTCAAAAGTAATGTTTAAAAAAACCAACTAGACGTACTATGTCAATAATTCAGATTGAGTTGTAATTTTATAATTACTGCTCAGAGGCTTACAATCATAATAATATGAATGGAACAGAGCTCAGAAATTCTGGATAAAAACAAAGCCATGTGTGAATATCTAAGTGTTTTAGGGCTGGCAGCTTCATCCACAGCTGCAGTGTTTCAAAGGAAAATTCAGAAAAGTTATTTTGGCCCATTCAGTGTGAAGAGAGACAGTGTTACTAACAGAAAAGAAAGTGACTAAAATAACTTTTAAAAAAGATTTCGGAAACTGATCTGACCTGTAGACTCCAACGGTTTCTTTGGAGGTGGCTTTAAGATGTTTGAATCTCACAGTGAGTGGCAGATCCATGGAAGCTCGCCTACAGCAACGATATAAGTGGGAAATGTTGTGGTGAATAATCAGCTTCTCTGACGTTTTTATTTCAAAACTGCCAAGTCAAGTGAATTGATGCTGATTATTCTTTGGTGTCCTCTGTCTGACCTGGCAGTCCGTAGCTGCCCTTCTTCATCATCTTCCTCATGTGGCCTGTACTCAGGAGGCTGACGGTGTTTCGAAGCCAAGAAATTGAACATGTCAAACACAGACCTCCTGGAGTGTAGACAGGTGGAAAAGACAGCCGTCACAAACATACATGGGACAGAACTCTGTATAACTTTATTATACAACTGCTGCTATATATAAATGTTGCCATTGTTCCTTATAGGGTGCAAGCGTAAGTCTATTTCCAACCTGTGGTGGATCTCTGCACGAGCCGAACCATGCGGGTTGATGGGAGGTTCATCGGATTCCTCAGGTTTGTGGAAGCGGAAATGGTAACTTCGACAGTGTCTCGAGCCAGAGAGCTGCTCCAGTAGGAAGACTACAGCCTCATGGACAATTCCCAGCATCCTCAGCCCATTCACAGCTGACACAGGCACACATAAATCCCCAAGTTCAATATTCATATTCTCTCATTAAATATACTTATATTACATTTAAAAAAAGTTTTTTTTTTGTAACAGAACTAAGGTAGAAGGATGTAGTTTCAGTGTCTTACCCTCAAATGAAATGTCTTTGAGTCTGGCATTGGTACGAGCTTCCTGTACTTTATCAGTCAGAGATTTCCAGGCCTCTGTGGAGGGATAGGCAGATTATAGTTAATACTGTGTTGATAAAATCGTAATGCAAAAGATTATTGGTTGATAATGTACCGATTACGCAACGTTTGAAGCACTGATCCAACAGCCTCCAGGCTCCCAGTGCTCAGGACATCATACCCCTGTGCCGCAGCAGAGCAACTAGCAAATGGCTATATCAGCTAACTGGAGCCAACATTGCACATCTTCCTCAGAGCTTGCATTTACTGCAATTTTTGCACGGACAAATGTCTAAATTGTCCTTCCTGCTTTGTATGACATGAACAATTCCCGTGAAGCTTTGAGCTGCAGACAAGTTGTATTTGTTTGTTAATACATTTGGTTTTTCTGACTAATTTTACTCCAGTTTAGCCAAATTTTCAGATGCATTACTTTCCTTACTAATTGGGAACTGTTTTTAGCCTACATCTCATTTTGTAATCATCAGGTCAACATAAACAACGGTCATATGGAGTCATTATCTGCTTTAATATAAAATGATTATTATTATATCTGTATCAGATAACTGTGGATATTTTGTGGATTTGTTTTTTCATCTACCTTCGATACTTTCACATCGGATGTGGAAGCCATCCTCACTGCAGATCTCAAAGATGATACCCTTCTTCGGTTTGCTATCCAAAAAATTATCTCTGCTGTTGCCGTCCTGGTGAGGAGCTGAAGCCGCAGGCAACGTTCCCGATCCTTCCGCAGCAGTAGGTTTGTCTTTTTCCACGATATTTCCTGCCATGACTGGAACTTCGGATGTTTTCTTTCGACCATGCACACTGGCAAAGAGATGATCAAGTGTTATTCAAGATGGAAAGAGTAAAATTGCAAAATACATTGTTTATATAAAGAGCTTCATACCCTTTATTGGT